CCCAAAAAAAAAAAAAAAAAAAAAAAAAAAACTAGCCCAAGCTGTGAAATGGCCCAGTTTTTTACTCCGGGTTGAAATGTAGAGGTTTTTCCCGACCTCATTTTTTATCATTAATTTACAATGCAAGCTTTCAAAAAAAAAAAAAAAAAAAAAAAAAAGTTACACTGGTTGATTCCCAGCGGATTCCCGTATCATCGCCCCGGCGGGACCCTAACCCCGTCCCATAAAAAAAAAAAAAAAAAAGATTTCAACAATGCCATAATGATCTCCTGCGTAGTACTTACGTTTCGTTTTGCGAAATTTGTGGTTGTCTCTTTTTCTTTATTTCCAGAAGACTCCTCCGGCCGGGATCTTCGCATCGCAGGTCGGGCGGGACTAAAGCGGCGCTTCGTATTGAGCAGCTTCAGAGAAGTCCACAAATCGGTCGGTCGGGATGATGTCACGCAAGCCGCGTACAAGTTGACGAGCATACTATATTACTATGCTCTGCACCTAGTCCACTTCCTCCCTACTTATGAGAGAAGCCGACGTGCATTCGCCTCTTTTTCCTTTTATCCGTAATGCCGCAGTATTTTTACCTCTGCATTGCCTAATTCCCCCCCCCTCCCCTCGCGCCCCGACCGTCTTCGCTGGTTTTAACCTTTACGAACATTACGTCCCACCAAAGTTCCAGTACTCCGACACACACACACACACCCACCCACACCCACACACACACAGAGTTCTGCACTAGCCGAACACACCCACCCACCCACACACACACACACACACACACACACACACACGCGCACACACACACACACACACACACAGAGAGAGAGAGAGAGAGAGAGAGAGAGAGAGAGAGAGAGAGAGAGAGAGAGAGAGAGAGAAAGATATTGAGATTTGTGCAGTATCGGCAGTGTTGAAACGACATGGCCCGAAACGGGGGGATGTATTATCCTGCGGAGAGTGTTCTCGTACCTGGCGCATGGGGCAAGGGACCAGTGAGGAGGGCAATTGATTCTGGGCCCACTCCCCAGTTCCCAGGACACCATCCTGTCAGCGATGCTATGATACCTGAACAGAGCGTGGTAGTCCATTGTGGACCTAGACGGCGACAGAGGCCGCCACAGCAACCAGGAACTCGTGGAGCAAATGAGCCCATTACTGGAACAATGCCCGACGGCCCCGAGGCCCCCGATCGAAGCGTGATTGTCCAGCTTTCCCGAAAGCCGCAAGGCCGGCATGGGCAGACACCATCGACTCCAGTTCCATCGCAATTTATCCCGCAAGAGGATCCTCCTGCTCCTCGTCATGTACAGCCTGTACAGGCCCATCCACGGCCTCCGGTGGGACCATACCCTGGAACTCCGGGACAGGTAAGGTATGTCCCATCTACTGGCGGTCCGGGATCAGGTCCCGCACACGAGCAGTGGGCGTTCGGACGACGTACAAGTGATGTTCCTGTTATTCCAACAGAGCAAAAATTTCGAGCAATAGGAGGACCGATGTACATACCTAATGGTCCTGGTTCCATCCCACGTCCAGCAGAGGAAGTGTCCCACGAGTTCCAGCAGGGTCCTCTCTGGTCAATTGGGGTCCCAGAGTCGCCGGAAGGTACCCATGAATATACTCTGTCCGGGGTTTGCAAAGGGAAAGCATCATCGACCAGCGAGGACGTGGAGAGCGGCGGATCGGGATCGCGACAGGGCGGAGCAACGAAGGGACTGTTGTTTTGTGGATTGTTGAAGCGGAGGGGACGACCGTGCAATGCGTGCAACAGGGCATAGTCACAGTATCTGACCGCAATTACGGGCAAGAGCAGGATGAATAAATGACCGCGATCACGTCGGGAGCTTAGTCAAACTACCTGAACGCAAGCACGGGCAAGAGCAGGATGAATCTGACCGAGATCACGTCCAGAGGTTAGTCGCAGTATCTGACCGCAAGTTCGGCCAAGAGCAGGATGAATCTGACCGCGATCACGTCCGGAGCTTACTAGTAGAAAAAGTCCTGGTGTGAGTATGCCCTCAGCCGGAGCAAACTATCTGATCGCAACACACAGCGGCCCACAGACTCTTTTTTTTTTTTTTTTTTTTTTTTGCCCACAGACTCTCAAGCAATGAGATGTTACAATAACGCGCACCATGAGATTGGGCGTCGCTCCACTCCTCAATACATGTGCAAAACGAGAATGAATCTTCCGCTAGAACATGGGGAAAGACATATCGCTGTGATTTTTGTCTTGTGGGCATGTCGAGAGTAGTGGAGTGAGGCCCGTTATATCAATCTCGAAATCATCACTCTTGAGTCTTAAGCCTTAAAATAGTAACACCAGAAACACCAATAGACTTCCGCCATAGCTAAAGCTATGCTGTACTTAAGGCCCACGGCCTTGAGATATGGTCACCGAACTGACCGCTCCTGGCTTATTCAGAATTGCTATGTTTACCCAAGAGCCTACAGTAGCTCAGTGGGGACCACACCCATGAACTGTTGAAATACAGACCCGAGTTCTAATCCAGATGATGATGGAACTTGACGAGTAAAACCAAATTATATATTTCTTTTCTTTTCTTCTTCTTCTTCTTCTTCTTCTTCTTCTTCTTCTTCTTCTTCTTCTTTTCTTTTTTTTTTTTCTTTTTTTTTTTTTTTTAAAAAAAAATTTTTTCAATTGACTGTGGCCGGTCAGCTCAATGATGATAACTAAAAACCGTAACCCCTTTTTTTTTTAAAAAAAAAAAAAAAAAAAAAAAAAAACCGCTATATTTTCCTTATGAAGTTGGAGCTCAGGTATGTATTCCATCAGCCCAAGGCTATCGGTTTCAGCTGGCGCCAGTCTCGCCAGTTGCTTTGTAGTGACGTCTACCATTCCCCATAGGCTATCGGTTTCAGCTGGCGCCAGATTCTCTTGCTTTGTAGTGACCTCATCAGGGGGGTCAAGTTGTCACTAGCGGTAGTGCCTAGTGTATACTATCTGCTTCCAGCCTTCTACGTTCCCATTCTCAGTACAGCTTTTTTTTTTTTTTTTTTTTTTTTTTTTTTTTTTTTTTTTTTTTTGTTTTTTTTTTTTTTTTTTTTTTTTTTGTTTTTTTTTTTTTTTTTTTTTTTTTTTTTTTTTTTTTTTTTTTTTGGTGTGCCGGATGGGCCACGGATCAGATATTAAACTGATCAGAACACTCTGGGTCTCGCCGCACGGCACACGAAACGGAAACGACAATGAAACGAGTGCATCTGCCAACCAAAGGTGGAAAAACAGTCGTTACTATTTATAGCAAACTGATGAACCTGGCCATTTTCTGTGGGAAGATACATTCGTTTCGTTTTTGTTTTTTTGTTTTTTTTTAATTTGGACCATTTCTCGATTTATGCGTGTCATCCTTGTGCAGGGGCCAGGGCCGACTAGCGCCGTTTTAAACCGTGTCCGTTTGGTTTTGTATCACGTGTGACAGATTTAGATGGCTACAGGCCATCGATGGAGGGGAAATCATGCGGAGTTCCGAATTTTGCAGAGATTCAAAAAAAGGGGAAAAGTTTTGCCTGTGTACCCTACGCACTTTCATGATTTCTTCTTTTTCTTTAAATTCAAAATCACTGTAGCAGCGATGCGTTTTCACAGCTTTCTGAGGGGGGAGGCGAAAACGCATCCCTGCTACAGTACTTCACGTCTTGAGAAGAGAAAAACGAAGTGGTGTGTACTAAGTACTGGACGCAGCCCATTGGCTGAGGCTTGGATCCCACTGGCCGGCAGCGTGGAAAAGTTTTGGCGAGGAAGTGTTTTTCAGACCCCACAGGTGTTGGAAACCTTCGTGGAAAGTCGGCCCGGAAAGGAATTTCAGACCCCACTGCGGTTGGAAAGAGGTCGTGGAAAAGCTGACGGGGCGTTTCTACTCGGCTCGCGGTCTGGAAATTGTTGGCAACGAGTTTCCAAACAGTTTCCAAGGACGGCTCCAGACGAGTAAGGGGGGGGGCATGGAAAAGAGTTTCCAGGATCGGGCTGGACGTCGTGGCGTTTTGGAGACACTTCATTGGCTGCGCAAGCAGACCATGGACCACAGCCCCCGCCGGGCTTGCCTTTTTGGGAAACACCCCGGTGCGATTTCCTATTTGGGTATGCCCAAACTTTTCCATGCCGAAACTATAGGCCTGCTGTGGGGTCCCAATGAAACGAGGAAGAATGTTTCCAACTACGGTCGGCCATTTTTTATGGCCAACACCAGTTTCCAGCCGCCGGCCGGTGGGATCCAAGCCTGAGTCCAGCATGCCTCCAGAAAAAGAGGCGATGAATTCGACGGCTACCATCCCATTGGCTGACGGGAGCACCCTAAGCTGAATTTTGCTTTCTTTATCGAGAAGAAAGAGAGTTTTTCTAATCTGAAAAAAATGCAGAAACCATTTTTTTAATGCCAAAAGCGGGTCACGCAGCACTGTCTCACGAGTGCTAGTCGGCCCAGGCCCCAGGGGCCATGCTAATCTATCTTTTCTGTATCGTTCCAATTTTAAGGGATGTCCCGAAGGACTTCGTTTCGTTTTTCGTTTCATGTGCCGTGCGGCAACGCCCTTTATCTTCCTGCATATTCTGCTGGGCCTCGCTTCACTGCAGAACACCGTACATGCGTTTGGAGGCTTTCTCAACCGGATGCACTCAACATGTTTGTTGTACGCGCTTTTCGGATGCACCTGGTCAGGAGAGGCGACGAAATACATGTAGAGTGTTGTGTAATGGAGCGAGGCCCTCAACCTCGAGGCGTTCCTTTTTTTTTCTTTTTTTTTTTTAAATGGGCGACAGCCTTGAGATATTATCATTGAGGTGGCCGGCCCTAGTAGTAGGTTTTACTTGTCAAGTTTCATAATCTGGATTCATTATCTGGATTCGAACACAGGTGCGTATTTCAACAATTATTAATCGGTGTACCCACTGAGCTAGGCTCTTGGGTACCTCGAGGCGTTTCTGCGTTAATCGTCCTCTGGAACCTTCAAGTCTCCTGCGATTGTTTTTCCCGCCGTGTGCATCTGCGCGCGGATAATGGCAAGATGCATCCGTTACTATGGCTTGGATCCCACTGGCCGGCGGCCTGGAAACTTCTTTCCGAGGAAGTGTCTTTTTAGACCCGACAGGTGTTGGAAACCGTCATGGAAAGTCGGCCTGGAAAGGAATTTCGGACCCCACTGCGTTTGGAAAGAGGTCGTGGAAAAGCTGACGGGGCGTTTCTACTCGGCTCGCGGCCAGGAAATTTGTGGCAACGAGTTTCCAAACAGTTTCCAAGGACGGCTCCAGATGAGTAGGGGGGGGGGCATGGAAACGAATTTCCAGAAAACGACTGGACGGCGCGAACCACGGACCGTAGCCGTGGACCGTTTTCTGGACCAGTGCTTCCGCGCAGACACGGTTTTCATTTTCTTGCGCCGCACGGTTCCCACCGGGGCCCCGGGGGGTCTGGGCCCTCCATGCTACCCTCGGATTGCGAACGGCAAGACGCAGTATTTCAAATTTGAATTTTTTTGGCGGTCTCGGGACGTAGGCCAGCCATGCAGTCGCTTCGTGCCCACCGACTTCATTGGCAGAAGCATCGGCAGTGACACCCTCACGTCGTCGTCGTCGACACGTCCATTAAACCCTCCGTCGTTTCTCACGGGCGTTATGCCATCGCTCATCTCCTTCGCGCGCTCAGGTCCCCTGGCCTGCCAACGGGGAAGCCATCTCTGGTGGCGTCGGCAGGCGTTCTCCGGCCGGGGCTTCCATTTCGAAGCCGTAGGCGTTGTGCCGAGCAATGTCTGCAAAACGCACAACCCGGCCACGGCGCTCTCGCTATCTGCCCGCGCGCACAYRTGTCGTCCAATGCTGACCTCCCGTGTCGTCGCCATTGCACACGCCTTGCTCCGTCGTGTGCCTCCCTTGCCATCCACCCTTCTTCGTCTGCCTCGGCAGGGCGGTCGTTTGTCCTCGCCGGAGAGCAACACCAGCTCATGTGGCCACGGGTGGGCTGCACGGGACGATGTTGTCATAAGTCCTCATCCAAACACTCGCCACGTGTCAATTGTCGAACGCTGTGGTCGGCCGTGTGGATGTGGCAGCTGCCATCATCACTGTTCAGTGGATGTTGTCATAAACAACCACTGCGACGGCTGCGGTCGACGAAAACAACCATCTTTGGCTGTTATCGTTGTCCTGCTTGCCGTTGCTATCCTCCTTTCCGCAGCGTTTGTGTTGTCCGTTGTTTTCTCATGCGCAATCGTGTACTTGTGCTGTTGTCGGTGGAGGTAAGCAGCGCAGCGTTGTTGTTCGAGGGTGCATTGCGTGTTTGCAGGGTCCCTCGCCTCCGTGTGTAAAGCTTCCGCAGCCAGATGGAGTCGTACCGGTCGACGACAGATCCCTGTGCGGGCAATGGCGGGGGTTTCCAGAACCAGGACATGCGACAGCAAGGATCTGTCCACTACTCCACGCCTTTGCCGTCGAGTGTGCAATCCTTCAGCGGGCAGATGCAGGAGGTTGTGCGTGCGGGGCCGATTCAAGTGCCTCCTGCTCGTGCGGGCTCTCCATCTGTCCATCACGTGGATGCTGCACGTCGGCGGTTCGTTGTTCGACCCACTGCAGAAAGTCTGCATGCGGCGCCGTGCACACGGGCCAGACGTCGTTTTGCACACAGGTTGGAGGCGGGTATGGCATGCCTTCTCCGCACATGTTCCCGGGGGCCGACGGATATGGCATTGCGCYRCACGTGTACCCCGCCCAGCAYACTGTGGAAAGGGGCGGAKTGATGAGGGAYGAGTGGCAGTGGTCYCCACAGTGCCGACAACYGTCGCAGCCCATGCATGGCSGGTTGTCCGCTCCCTCGCCCATGTCGGTGCCGCGGTCTGCTGCCGAGGCCTCACCTTCGCTGGCAGAAGTTCAACGAGAGGATATGGACGAGGGGTGGCCTGTCCATAGTCGTGCTCCGTCTCCTGCCGGCTTGCAAGGTCCTTCCTTTGGTGGCGAGGAAGATGACTTCGTTGGCGACGATGAAATTGAAGGTGATGGCGGTGACGTTGATGGGCAAAACTCGGACAACGCGCAGGAGGAGAGGGACAGTGCTACTGTTGGGGAAAGAGATGGGGGCGAGAATGAAGCGGGGCCCCAAAGCAGCAAGCGTGCAAACAAGCGGGGGGGGGAAGATGCTGCTGCGAAAAGCAAGAAGCAAAACATCCCCTGGTCCTTGGATGAGAGGATCGCGCTGTCCAGAATTATGGCCGAGGACCTGTGTGTCCATTCAACTCGCAACGGGATTTATTCAACTCCGTTGAACCCGTTGAACGGCCACGAGGCCCGAGTTGAATCCCCGTTGAACGGTACAACGGGGGTTTCCCGTTGAAATCCGATCAACGGGTCGTGCCCAATGGGCCTCGGACACGTGGCAGGACACACGTGGAAAAAAAAA